TGTGTGAATTGTGTATTTATCTGAATTAATCAATTAATTTTAAATATAAATTGTAATTAATTAAATAATGGCTAAAAGAATGTTTGACGTCTTTAATATAAAAAAACAAAAATTAGTTGTTACTTATTCCTCGTCAACAACAACACTAGAATCTGAACATGAAGATTTAAATATTGGTTTAGACATTAATATAACTACACAAAAAGTGTTGAAAATATTGTAGATAAAAATATAATTTCCTACTTGGGAACTTTAATAATAGGCCCTGAGCGACTAATTTTAAAAGTAAGTAAAATTGTAAGTAAATACTAAACATAGTTTAAGTTATTATATTATATTTAAATTAAATATATTGCAGTCATATCCACTAACTAAATTTGGTACACAAAATCGCGCTTTCAATCATACAAAACATATGAATGGCTTGATTATAGTATATCAAAAGATTCAATTTTTTGCTTTGCTTGTAGAAATTTTAATACTGGAAATAGTGGTAATTTTGAAGATAGCTTTTTAGTTGGTTTTAGAAATTAGAAAAAAGCATATGCTTTATATTTATGCTTTATTTATAATTTTTTAATTATAATTATTAATATAAGTATATTATAATTTATAATAATATAATTTATAATATAATTTATAATTATAATTTATAATTTATAGTTGAGTGTTTGTAGTGGATTTAAAGATGGGAATAAAAGTAAACTCAATAAATTGGATGCACAAGCTAAAAGTAATTTACATCTTATATGTATGGTTAAATGGTCAGCATATCAGAAAACAAAAGAAACTGGTAGTGTTTATTCTCAAATATTTTCTCGGCATTCATTGATGGTTGAAAGTAATAAAAAATATATGAAAATGTTAGTTGATATTGTTTTATTTGTAAGTTGTCAAGGAATTGGTTTAAGGGGACACGACGAGACAAAAGATTCTTTGAATCAAGATATTAAACTAACGACTAAAAAGTAATAACTAATAACTAATATTAATAATAGTCTTAAATGATCTTAAATGTAAAATATCTAATAATGATAGTTATTTGAAAAAAATTAATATATTTTTAGGAAATTTTAAAGAATTATGTAAATTGTTAGCAAAAAGTAATGAGGAATTTGGAAAAAAAAAATTAATCTTAAAACCAATTACTCAAGTCATATAATTCAAGATAAACTTATAAATAAATGTGCAGATTTTGTGAAAGATATTTAAGACGTTGAGGTGTTTGGAATTATGTGTGATGAAGCAAGGTGAAATATAAATTATGTTTTATACATACGATATATAATACTTTTTTTTTTAGCTTCTTCGGATATTTTTGTATTTTCCAATAATACAATTAATTTCTTAATAAATAGATTAAACATTGTACGCCAACAGGTCACATATATGTATTTTATATAACATCTAGTGTAAAGAACATCATACGATACCCCAAGAATTGAAGAAATGTAATTTGTTTTGTTTTGATAAAATATTGTGATGATAATATGCGTCACTAGTGTCGGGCATGACACCTGTGTATCACCCAAACTTCGAACATACCTATTTATTCATCATTGTTTTAAAACATTACCTTTAGCTGAATAAGGTTGTAAAAATGACCACACTTTCACCTTGAATAATACATATTAATCATATTGATCTATTAGATATAGTATAATTTGGTAATAATAATTAAATGAACCCAAGTATGAAGATGTATTTTATATTCCATGTATATCAAAATAAGGATATAAAGGATAATCAAGTAATAATAATACATTTTTTTTTTAACCTCCTTAATTACTGTCTTAAAAACTCTAGACGTTTTCGATTATCCGATTGCATTTCATAATATTGAACACAAACAGAGCAACCATTTTTTCGTTGGTGGATGAATCTTTTGCTATCGACCGTTCCCACGCTCTATGTTCTAAAATAATATCGGCTTTTCTACGGTCTTCCAACTTTTTGCTTCGTTGATACGCAATATCATGTTCCTTATAGTATTTATCCAATTTGTTTATTCCCGGATCACTTAAGGTAAGACTTAATTAACATATTATATTTATGTATAATTATTATAATCTTAAGTTAATATTTACTTAACTAGGATGCAAAAGAAAAAGATAAGAGCCACACAATCTTAAACATTTTGATACTACTGCAACCACAAGTGCTGAACAAAATATTAATGACACCATTGAAACCATTGAAGATTATTTAAGAAAAAAATGCTTTCTTTCCTGTATTTGATGCTATCTTGATAAATCTGGAAAAAATATTTTCTATTAAAAGCTTCCAAATGGCTATAGCTGTTGATCAATTTTTTAAATTAAACTTTGAGTCTTTTCTTTGTAGATCATTATAAAGTAAGTATCGTATCAGTTTCTGAAAATTAATTTTTACTTACCTATGCTCTAGTTTTCTAGTTTTATTAAAAGTGAACCTGTATTTTGTATATTTTTCAGGATTTAATGAATGTATCTAAAGATGTATTACAGTCAGAAATAGAAGTGGCAAAGAATTGTATATTGTAGTCTACTGATGAAAATTATTTAACTTTAAATGATGTGAAAAAGGTTTTAACAAAACAGACTTTCCCTAATTTATATAAACTATTTCAAGTTGCTTTAACAATTCCTATAAGTTCCTCCACTTGTGAAAGGAGTTTTTCGGCCATGCGTAGAATAAAAACTTGGCTTCGAACTTCTATGCTGCAGGAAAGGTTTAACAACATCTCAATAATTATATATTGAAAAAGAAATTTCTAAATCTATTATTACTGAAACAATTGTTAATATATTTGCACAAAAAATAGATATATACAATTAAAATAAAAATAATTTATTAACTATTCAATATTTTTTTTTTATGTTCCCATTACCTATAAATATATATATATATATATATATATATTTGGTGCCTCAGCTAGAATAAAGTAAAAGTAACACTACAGTTAGTAGATGGAAGCGTCGTAAGCGACTAAAAATATTTGTTTCCGCTAATGAATAAGACAAAAATGTTAAGCCCCCACCCCACAGATGAAACCAAATATCTACCTATGAATACACGGTTTCTAAACTAGTCAAAAATACTTGGTAAGTTGATAAATACAAAAAATTTCCTTTCTTACACGTAATTTTTAAGCATAAAACCCCGCAGTTAGAAAAAATATCTTTATATAAACCAATGCTTTTATTCAGTTTTCTAACACACAATAAATGACTTATCGATAAAATGTATTTTATGATTCATGAAATTGGCATAATTCTTACTGGAGAGTATATAATGTTCTGTAACAATGTGGATTAAATTCATTTACCATTCAATGGTGCTTAAAGAATTGCTTAAGAGTTAAAATTATTTTACATTTTTTATTTTTTATTTAGATGAGTAAATATTAAAAATACAATGTGCAATGCAATGAGCCAATGAATTATAAAAGTTTAATTATTTCAACTGTTCAATACGTTTTTTTTTGAATATCAATTAATATTTATTATCAACTACACACATACAATATATTGTATATCTACATTTTCAAACTTATTTCCACTAAATTAACATAAATGTATTACATAAATATTACCACATCGGCAAGTGTCACAACAAATAATAAATAATAAATTCTTCATTTTTTTAGCACTCTCATTTTCCATCGAAATCATCGCAATACCTATAAGTCGCGTGTAAAACAGTGCTTCTTAGATAATTTTTAATTAATTTAAGTTTTAAAAATGTCTTTTCGGCATTTGCTACAGTAACCGGTAATGTATAAAACGAGTAAAATGCTATTAACAAGTTAGGGAAATAACATTAAAGACATTTATTAATAGCAGTCTAATTAGTATTGTGTTGGTATCGGATAATTCATATACACGTTCAGTGATCACTAGGGCTCGGATTTAAATGCTCTAAGAATTCTAAAAAATGCCCTAAAAATATTAAAAAAAGCACTTTCAAAAAATTAATTTAAATATAAATTTACATTAAATCATTTTATTTTTGTGTTAGTGAAATAAATTATATTGAAATTAAAAAAAATATATGTTTATTCCATATGTAAAATTATACAAATATATTTAAAATTATATGTAAAATACAACAAAAATGTGTAAAAAATTAAATGTAACAAATCGTATCTACAACATTTATAGACTCTTTTAATGCTAAACAATTAATTAATTAATGTTTATACTATGTTTATAACTTAAGAAAGTCAACTTTATTAGTCAAAATACGAGAAACAGGTCAAAAATGTCTTAAAAAATTAAAAAATGCACCAGAGAGTATAAAATTCGCTAAAAATACAATAACGCCCCAAAAAAAAATTTGTAGTTACAACATTGAGTACTTTAAACATTTTTGTAGCTCGGAAAACATCGTGTAAGATATTCCAAAAATATATGCAAATGCATTGAAATCCGAATCCTAGTAATAACTAATCAGTACAATTTGTAATATTTCAATATTCCAAGATTTTATTAACTTGAACTGAAATTTTTTTTAAATGGTACACAGTATTTTTACTGCGAAGCCTTTTAACAATGTATTTGAATCAATTATTTATGAAATTTTTGATAACATGCACTGTTTGTGGAACAGGCTTTTTCGTCATACAAGTCCGTTAAAAATAAATATTGTAATAGAACTTCTGTGAATTCAAACTTACGAGTTAACCTATCATCTGTGAAACCAGATTTCAAAAATCAAGCGTTAGATACCAAATAACTCGAAATATCACATCAGAATTAAATCGTAGTATTCATACTATTTGTATATACATTGCACGGCGCATTAATAAATATAATTTACAGCTGTGGTGTACGTAGTGCAATGATGAGAGGTCAAAATGTACGTGAATGAAACAAGGATGAGAATATCATGTTCTTGTAGAATAATATACATGTTGTCCATGGGTCGACGACGGAAGCCGTGGCGATACCGAGCAGAGCCGATCCAAATCGAGTCGCTAATGACAACGGAATTAACGACGGTGACCCGCGACGTCAGCTAATCGCTTATCAGGTTATTGTGCGTGTGCGTGCGCGCGCTTGTGTGCCTATCTGCGTATGTTTATTTATTTGCTTTTCGCTCCGTTACGACATGGCCAAAATGTCAAAATTGACCGTCGTTTTTGTTACTGTCGCCGTTTCGTTGTCAACGCTTTCGATGCCACTGTAATCGTCACCGTTTGTTACCCCAATACGATCATCGTTAATTCCGTCCTCACGCCATCGCCGTACTCGTCGTCTACTGTTCGCCGTCCGATGTTAGCTTCTGTAGACGGCCACCGTCGTGTTTGTTGCGTAGTCGCGGCCCATGGACAAGCCTGCAAATGTCACGGCGGCACTCCTGGACGCCACCGCGACAACCACCACAGCCGTCGTCCCAGCAGCCACCTCGTCCGCCGCCGCCGCGGGTGCTTCCATTGGCAGGGGCTGCGGCGTGCCAGGATGTCGGAAGAACAATCAAAAATGGTGTTGCGGCACTGAACAGTGTCCAATGTGCCTCAAGTTCCGCAAGTCGTTTCACTGCAAAGCGTGCGTTAACAGCGGTAACTTTGGCCATTCATCGGCCGCCTTCGATAAGGGCAAGTGAGTAATGCGACACCTGTTTATTTTCTGCCATTACTCTTTTCTCCTGGAGTAACTTTTTGTATATTTTTTTATAATGCTAATCTATATTACGCTTTTAGTGCGTGATTGATACATCAACTTTTTCAAAGCAATGATAAACAAAACTACTTAATTCCTATAACTTCCTACCTTTTTCTGTTCTGTGTTGTTCTCGGTTAGGTTAGTACTTTCATTCAAAAACTTACTACTTAAATCTCTTAAATTTAATCTATCCTTAAAATGGTTTCGTTTTAAATAATTTTTTTTTTTTCTGCACTTAATCCTTAATAATACTTATTATATTACATGTCTTATATAGTATGATATCTATATTTTTATAACATACTTTAAAATTCAGACAATTTTAATTGTTATTAGGTAGTAATTACCTTTTAATATCAACCAAATTTTAATCGAGTATGACTCCGGTATTTACAAATAATTTTTTTTTTTAGATTTTACAAAAAACAAGGAAAATATCAAAGTATTGTCTATAGTTCTAATTTATTCAAAAATGATTGTGCTAAAATGTTTTCAAAAAAACAATGTACTACTTTGAAGGTATATACTTCTATTATAGCTACAATTACCTACTATAAATTTTTATAATAAAAATTTCAACTTTTTACTTATTTATGCAATGTGTATATATATATATATATATTTATTTATTTATATTTTAGAAAATAGAAACTTCAATATTACAAGAAAAAATAAGTTTACTAAAACTTGCATTATCGGACAAAAACAAAAATCTGACAGATAGTAAGATTTTAATTATTATTATAAGATTTACAGAATTTTTTTTTTTTTTAATAACTGTTTAAAGAAATTAAAAAATACTAATATTTTTTTTAACAATAATTAATAAACTCAATTGTGAATATATACCCTTGCGCATTTACATTCTGTTATTCTATGATTACTTAATTAAGTCACCAAGAGCTATTTTCTCTTATCTCTACTTTCAAATATATAAAAGAACAGCTTATTAATTTTTAATTACTAACTAATACATTTTTATCAGAATCTACTAAACATCTCTATTTAAATTACTACATCAATCTATTTAAATGCATTAAAATATTATAACTCATTTATATTCTTATTTGAACATAAATTAACAAATAGCTGGTAATTTTCAACATGAATTAAACTAATATTTTTGTTCTTTATTTTCTATTTTAAAATAATTATTTTTTTAATGTTTTATTGTAATAATTCTTAGCAGTTCATAACTTGTAATGTCCTTTCATGCCTACTATTTTAAAGTAAAATTTATTTAATTTATAAAAAAAACTACAAAATATCTATAATAAAAATGTTTCATCAATTAATTTGTTGGTAATTATTATTTTTTACAGAAAAGAATCAATTAAAAAAATTAAAATTAGATATAGATAATCAAAAGTCAAGAGTTGATCGATATGGAAGACGTGTGGTTAGATTAGAAGAATTTACTAAAGTTCAAATAATTGTATTAAATAATAAAATAAGCGAATTATTTGCTATGAGACCTAATTTAAAAAATATTATTCAAACACGCATTGGTCAACTAGTCACACACATTTTCCCTTTAAATGAAGTACATCCAACTATTGTGCAGTAAGTAAAAAATTTTATATTTTTTGGGTATTTATCTATTAATAAATTTAAAGCTATTGTTTTAAAAAATATTATTTCTTAAAACTGATTTTTAGTATTCTGCCAACAATTTATCAACATTTTATACAAATATTTGCTTTGTTTAATAAAATGTTTTGAAAAATATTTACTTATTCTACTTGAAGTCCAATACATAATTTATAAATAAAAAAAAAAAAAAAAAAAAAACTAGATTTCTAAACAATAATTTATGTTTTTAATTTTATTATTTCATATTATTATTATATATATATATATAGCTTGTTTAATTTTTAAATCTTTTCTTTTGTATTTTTTTCATGAATATTGTTAAAGTTAGAATTGTATTTTATAGGAATGAAGAACTTGATGTTAATAATAGCTTAAGTCATGCATTAGCTGAAGCTTCTAAATTAACTTATGTATGTGGCCAATGGGTAGATACTTGTGAAGAATGGTCAAGACAAATGGAGCTGGGTTACCGGATTGTAGCACCTACTTTACCAGCAAATGGAGATTACTCTGCATATAATGAATGGGGTTTATATTTATAATAAATGTATCTATTATATTTAAGCAATAGTACACTTTAATAACACTCTTTTCATTTTTTTTTCTTTTCCAGTTTCAGATAAGAATAGGGATTATGCATTTCATCAAACATTTGCAGAACCAAATCCTGCATGCACAATTAGTGCTGCTCTAACGTATACCTCACAGTTAGTGAAACAAATTTCTTTTTTCCTAGACGTTTTTTTACCCAGGCGTCCACACTTTAGGTACTATCATGATGAAGAAATATTCTAACAATATACCTAAATTTAATATTTATTTGTTTATAGTGAATTTTGTGGCAATGAACTAAATGAAACCAAATTTTCAAAATATGTTACCCACTTAAATGCTAATGTTCTTTATTTGTGTTTTTCTCAAAATGTTGACCCCAAATTATTACATCCAGATCATACATTAAAAAATTTACTGCAGCTTTTAGATACATCTGTTAGTGATCTAGGAAGGTAAAATTAAAATTATTTTTAAACTAAGTTGTTATTTTTATGTGATAATGCTATAAATATTTAATAAACCACTGTTCTTTCATTTTTACTTTTACTTCTTATCTTATAACATTAATTTTAGGGTTGAACCCCCAGACATTGATAGTAAATTATGCAATGCATATGAAGAAAAAATAACTTATCAATTATTTTCATCTAATGGCGACTCAGATTCTGAAGATGACAATTATTATGAATGGGAAGCAGTAAGTTTTATTCAATTAATTCAATGTATAATGTTTTAATTTTTTTAAGATTTATACACTTTTATGTTTCATATTGAAGTTACCAAACGTTGAATACCCTGCTGACCACAATCAATTATCAATACAGTCAACTAGTAGTGTTGTCAGAGCAGGACTTGTGGCTAGTACAGCTGCTAGTTTAGCATCTATGTGGCGTGGATGGACCAAATAATAACATTATCATAAATTATATACAATTCAATGGAAAAATAGATTCACGTTTTGATTATTAATTAAAAAAATTTATAGATCCCACAATCTGCACTTACCTAAAATTTTTATTGCGAAAACCACAAATTTTCTTTTATCAACAGTGGAAATTCAAAAAATTAATACAAACTGTTAATGTAGAATAATATTGAAGCTCAGCTTTTTTTTTTTTTTTTTTTTTTTTATTATTATACATTGTAAAATGTATTGTTTTTAAATGGAGTATATTTTATTTTTTTGTTACCAATTTATTATACTATTATTATTATTCATACAGTAAGTGATTGTTTCATTTTTTAAAATAATTTATTTAATATATTTATTTATATGTTTATATTATTATAAAAATTACTGACACTTATATTTTCAAAAACTACCATTTTGGGTTATTTATGTTTACAACATATGCAACATGGTTTTTTTCTTACACTAAAATAGGACTTGAACTAATAATATATACATAAGTATTAGTGTTTAAAATGTATAAGTATATAGTAAACTTTTATTGAATGTGTTTAACTGTATAAATTTATAAGAAAAATAATATAGTAGAAATAAATTATTTTATTTTTGTAAGCACGGTCATCAAATTGTATCTACACTTAAATTGTAGTAATTTATAATAATTAAAAAGTACTAAAGACGTCACATATATTCGAAATATTAAAGAATTATATTCATAATAAGTAATAATGTAATAATACATATATAGTGGAACTTTGATTAATCGTGTTCGCAATTAATCGTGCTCTTCCAAAATTATCGTCGTTCGACATTTTTTTACTGAAAAGTTTTATTAGCTCTGATGAATGTATTTTTAAATTACGTACATAAAGCTACAAATACACACGTTCAGGTCGGCCTGTCAGTTATACCTGTACAGTCCGCCTGAGACCGACCGACCGGAACGTGTGTGGGTTCCGATCGTCAAGCCAAAATGCTAAATGTATAATATATCCTAGAGCTTGTGGTGATTTAATAGTTAAAAATAAAAGGTCTTCGTAACTTCTTCCTATAGGTAATAATCTTGCTAACGTTGTTAACTTTGTTAAAGTTGCTGTCAACTTTTCGTGGGGTGAAAATGATTTCCTCATAACGCGGCGTCCTACGTGAATGATTGCAATGCGAATCTGTGTGACGTGACGCGTAACGAAATTCGAGCGATCCAACGTGGTGCGTTGCGACGCGGCTTCACTGTCCTGTGTGCATACGATTTGATAACGTGATGGTCGATACATACGCTTCGCGCAGCAACGCGCCACGATATGCTCCACATGATTTCAGTCCCGTAGGACACTTCCCTGAGAATACCCGTGTTTGATATTTTCGCTTTGAAATCGCTCACGTAGGACGCCGCGTAACTGCATTTTTTTTTTATTTTTTAATGATTAGTGTCACTAATGAAAGAAGTTGAAAGTACGTTTTTTCGTCCATTCGCAAGTAATTATACCACTCTTTTAGAAACATCTTAAATTCGGTAAACAGATTAATGTGAGAATATTCGTTTCTTTTTTGTAATCAATCTTTACACCACAGCTTACGTTTAAGTTTTTTAAATTTTATTATTACTTTTTATGATTATCATTAAGCCTAAAATAGCAAGCGCGTCTTCGTTGGTAGCCATATCTATCAAAACTTGTGACTGAAGTAACGCTCGGACAGATTCACCAGAACATGACTCCGGCGACCTGTAAAGGCATAACTGACAGGCCGACCGGAACGTGTGTGGCAAGCTTAATACACATAATCGAAAAACGTAAACGACCTTTTCAAAGATAAAAATATATATATCACAGGTAGATTAAGAGGTAGAGTTATTTATGATTAATAGAGGTTCTTCAACAATCATATTTATCCAATCACGTTATAACTTATACATATGGGAAATTTTAAATTCTTTCGAATTTGTTCCATACATACTATTTAGTGTATTTTTAGCACTTTCCATAGCCGTTTCGAAAATAGTAATTAAGAAAATAACATTGTACAAAATTATACATTTTTCCACAATTCGTTTAATAAAAAGTCTAGATTAATCGTATTTTTCATTTATCCGTGTTACCCTTCCATACTATCACCCCGGATAATCGAGGTTCTACTGTATAATATTTATAACTAGGGCTGCACTAAAAAACGCACAAACAAGCATGCAATAGTGCACTAACATTTGATTAAATTCAAAATATGCATTGAAAATTTTAAACTACACGAAAACAAATGTGTAAGAATAATTAAAACAATAAGAATTATCCATTCATATTTTTAAAAATTATATTTTTCTCTTCAATTACATTTCTTTAAAGTTATGATTCGTGAACACACATAATGACGAAAATAAATTGATATGATAGATTACAATGCACACGTCAATAAGAAGAAGGTGGCAGCAGTGCGCAATAATATTGTTTCCGTAGTACTACTTTTAACTAATAAAGATCAATGCCATACAAAAATTAAAATTCTGATAAAATACTAATATTTTGTAAAAAAGTTCGGAAAAGTAAATAAGAATGGCTTCAAACATTTATTGATCTATTTTTTTTTCTTAACTTCCACGATAAACAATTTTGCTGAAATTACATAAAATAATATGTGTTAATAACTCAAAAAAATCAACTATATGCCAAACGTGCCAATACATACAAGACATTCAAAAATATGGTCTATTAAACTTTAGATTCTTATTAACATTTTTATGAAAATGATTTATATCTCACTTAACTTGTTTTCTAATGTAGCAATAAAAACAAGCGAATGCATGAACTTACGAACCCTGTTTATAACCCATTAGTGCACTTGATAACATATTAATGTGATTCTGTACTTCCTGATTGTTTCAAATTCAGTAATACTTTTTTAATTCCAGGCTTACTCTCAACGTATAATTTCAGTGCTAAAGTATTTACCAATTAAGATTCGTATTAAAATCAATTTTAAATGAAAGTCAGTGTTTAAAGAAATATTTTTAAAAAAATTATATTTTAATTACTTTTCATGACAGCCCTTAATAATTTAATATTTAACAAAGTTTCACCATACAAAATAAAAAAAAAAAGAGCACTGATATATTCCTCTAGCATAAGTTATTGGTACTTAATAAATTTGGTTTCTATACAATTTTAAATTATAAATGAATATTTTATGCTTGCACCTAAGTATAAAATAATACACTAAACAGGAAAGTTGATTTATTTCAATTATATATTTGAATGATTTTTAAATTTTCATCAACTTATTTATTTTTTTTCTTCAAAACAGCTCCACGTTTAAAATCTTCCACGTTTAAATGCTGTTTAAAAATATATTGTCGATCAATATTTTATAAAACCAAATTAATTTTCTTATTAGCAGGGCTAGGATTTGTATACAATAAAAAATTGTAAAATATTCATTTTATTTACCAAAATATACAAAAATATGCATTTCAATTTTTATAAGATAAACACAAAAATATAGTTACAAAAGAAATATTTATTGAAATACATCAGTGGTTGGTTGTTTATCTTAATATAATATAATTGAGTAATAAAATAAAATAATTTAGAAATACAATTTATAATTCACATTCACTACATTTTACATGCTACAACAACATATTATTTTAATTTTTCGAAAATGAATAATTATGAAAATTATTAATTGTGTTATCTTTTTCCATCAAACTATTCAATCTTTTATCGCATACCTATTGTACCATAGAATTGTATTTATAAAAATAAAATTTATGTTTGATAAAAAAAACAAGTTTTATAGTTTAATCGTCAGGGCTAAAATTAAATACAAAATATTTATATTAAATTATAAATATTAATTATGAAATATACTATAAAACATTTATTTTTCGCATTTTTGTAATCGAAATATGCAATAATATTAATTTTATTCAATATATGCAATAATATGCATTTTATCAAAAACATGAAAAATAAAAACACCACCATTTATCTCATCATGAGATGTGATAGATGTCAAGATTCGTGGACATTACTGACAAAATCAATAATTAGAAATTGCAAAAAAAACGTGCTGTAGCATACAAATACTAGTCCTGCTTATTAGTATTAATATATTTACTTTCAATAATTATTATACTTAATTAACTTAAATTAAACCTTAGATATATTATAAATTTATTTGAATAAATACCTTTTCAACAACTCTTAACTCGTCCCATTTTAAGTCGTGTACTAAGGCCGAGCAAAAATTATCGTTACAAGTATTCATTAATAACTGCATAAGTTTCTTTGACATAAACCTGTAGGTATATAAATTGATCAATTTATTAACTTAATACAATTCTGATAACCTAGTATATAAATATATATATATATATATAATATACATATATAATATCAATTGTCATTGACTTTTCGCTGTCTAAGTGTCCCCACATAAAAACAAAGTATAAGAAATAATTGATTTATCTATATCGTATATATTGTACCATGAAAATATTTTTTAAATACTATTAACATTATATAATGATTTTCAATGTTTACTAAACTGAATAAATATATTTATATATATTAACTCGTATAAAAACGATAGAGCCATGTAGATATTTTAAACATAATTAAAAACTTTACTATTTTAAAATAATAATAATTTTACTATTGGTAGATACCAATATTGAATATTGATTTTTTGTTATATTTGTATTAATTTTTCATTATGTTTCATCACTTGATTATATTTTTTTTTTTTTACCTAACACGATTTTAAAGTGTACCTAATTTGATTGTTAAGAAATATATTATCAATTATTTTTTTTAGCTGATGTATTAATGTTATTTATTTTAAAAATGATTTTGTCATTAAATATTACTATTCTTATAAAAAGTACTTTTTAAATATTCAAATACAGATACAGATACCTGTTTTCAAAAATATTTTAAATACATATTTGAATATTTGATAAAAAAAAAAATATTCAAGTACGAATACAGATAGTTCAAAAAAGTATTTATAGATACTTTCAAATAGGTACTTAAAAAAAATTCATATCATTTTTTACCTTATAATTATAAAAAATGTAAAATGATTTCAAAAATATATTTATATCTTACATTGATGCAACGAATCAACGAAAAAAATCCAGAGTTCCTATAAGCCAGCGGGTCCCAAACTTTTTTAGTTCACGCATCCCCAAAACAAAAAAAATGTAATCGCTCCTCTTATGAAATTTTTTTTATTATTTTAATAAAATCAAATTGATCTACAAATAAATATATGATAGTGTAATATATAATATAAATATTTGCCATGCATCTCTCCCAATAAGTGCTTGCGCCTTCCTAGGAAGGAGCGCTTCACAATTTGGGAACTACTGCTATAGGCCCTAAATCAGAATTGAATCAGAATAATTGGAAAATTAAAATAAAAAGAATCTCCGATTTTTTTTATGAAATTGTTAAATTATATGAGTAGTAATGTAGTATATTATAGTCATAATAGTGCATAATGTTAGATTATAAAAAGGGTTCTCAAGTTCTAGTAATTAGAATGGAATTGGTTTCTACGGCAAATTTTTACATGCCACATACTCAAGTACTGGAGTACTGACAATAAAACATTTTTTGTCAGTAGCATTACCTAGTTTGTCAACTATTAAGTATATTTTATAATAGATGTTTTGGTATTATCTTTACATGTTTGAAAAACTATAAAGATTTTTCTTTAAACAAAAAATTTAAATTATTTTAAATATAATCGTTTCAACATATGTGATGTATGACAAATGTATCAACTGGAATCAATATAATCAGGGCCGGATTTAGAGGGTGGGGCCCCCACAAAATTCAATTAATAAGAGGCCTAGTAATTTGCAAAAATTACTAAAATTTAATTTTGCACTGCTTAGTTCCAATCAGTTTTGACTTAATGTTTCGATTAAATATCAAAGTAATTAAAAATAACATTTTCATGTTTCGTTGCTTTTTAAAAATGTTCACGTTTCCCCTCAAATTTTATCATGGTTCTCTAGAGGGGCGCGTCCCCCAGGTTGAAAACCGCTGTTGTAGATAATCTAAAATATAATTAATGTGTTAAAAAATGTATGAAAAAAATTGAAAATCGTGGATTATGATAGAGCAGTAACAACAATAACAATTATATCCCATTAAATACACTATTTTAGACTCATACCCAGGACAGTGTTTTATAAATTATGTTTTCATGGAAATCTCACAAAATTATTGTCATCGGTATGCTTACCTTGTTGAATAAGTAAGTGGTATACCTCAGTCTAATAATCGAATTATTACCTAATATCCGAATTGGCATCTTCCACGGCGACCACACAGTTTTTCAAAATTAATTGCCTTGATTCTTTCAGTCCCGTGCCAATCAATATTTTCATCGGATCTGCCAAAACGGTGGCGCGGTGTAACAGTCTCAATTGCGTTATTTTTACAGCCGAATTTTTGTGATGACAATTGGCTATCACCTTGATGCTGGACACCGGTGTGATATTCAATATCATTTTGTCGAGTGCCCAATTAGCGTCCATGCGAACGTTTTGGTGTTTATCCGCCGTACGGTACATTAGTCCAGTTACAATGTTATCAAATATCTACAAAGATAAAAATATTATTAAAACTTTTATAGTGATGAACGGTTACTAAACCCCAGGGTTCAACAATTGGCGAACTACGGTCCTGATGAACACATTGATTATAGTAATATAATCTGTGTGTGTGTGTATGTGCGTATGTGTGTTTGTGTGTGTGTGTGTGTGTGTGTGTGTGTGTGTGTGTGTGTGTGTGTGTG